ACCATTTGCTGTCGCTGTCATGCTTTAACCATATGAGGAACAGCTCTCATGTTCCAGCTTGGCAACAAACATTGGAGTATGAATTAGAAAAAGTATTTACTGTCGTGTTTCTCATCTGAAGGCCTGCCTCTTGAGCTCTACATTTCAGCCAAAGATGGCAGCAATGTTCATGAAAGGGCTACAAGATTCTGAAGTTTCTATCGAAGATACTCTGAATTAATTTGTGGACAGAGAAACTGTAATCAGACAGATCTTATAAAAACCGTTGGTGGGACAGTACGTTTGTGGTTGGGGAAGTGGGCTGGAAGTGAGTTGGGAAATAAGGACTCAGTCAGTGGTGGGGAACTGCTGTTGTACCTTAGAGCTAATCATTCATGTTGCCTTCAATTTATGTCCAGCCTCATACAGTAAATGGACAGCATGTTAAATTAGCTGAAGTTGTCCTGGGTAAGGGTGCACTTTAAGGAAGTAGAAATACCAGGCCAGGAACCAGACTGACTGGAGACAGTTTATGTGAGCGGGAGTGAGTGAGGAAACCAGGCCCTGGGCTGATCAGCTTGTGCTGTGTATTCATATGACATTTTTAATAGGGAAGATTGAAGAGGTTTCTGCTGCGGCTGCCGAGGGGGCTGTTTCATATTGTTGTTCGTAGATTTACTGGTTGTAACCATGTGGTTTGGGAGGATAATGGGCTTGTTCTTTAACTGGGAGAGTAATAATGGTGGTGTTAGCCAATACGCAAACCTCAGGTTGAAGCCATTTCTCCAGCTTTGAGGGTCGGGGAATGACGAGCGGGTTACTGTGGTTTGGCTAAACAGTTTTGTTTTTCATTCAGTGACAGTACGTTTTTTATCGACAGTAATAAAGTTATTTAGAATTATGCAGATGCACCCAATAAGACAAAACACCATAAAATACTTCTCCCCTTTAATCGTCTCTTAGGCGAGCCGTTTTATGGTTTAATACCAACTGGATGCTTTTCAAAGCACCAGAGCAGAATAGATCTGACTTTTCCCTCTGTGAACGGGTTTTACATTTGTGTTTATCAGGTTTGTGTCGGACGTGTTAAACATGTTCCAAGCAAGCACAGACATAGGGGTAAATTCCTGAGAGGCGTTATTTAAACGTGATGTTTAACTTTATTTAGTTGGCTTTTACTGTCTTGTAAATGAGTCCTGCAGGAAGTATCTCCTATCTTTTTCAGCGGCCGGTTTCGGTGCATACAGTAGAGCTAATGTATGTAAAACGGATACTCTAATTACAGTTATGGTCCAGCCGCTTTGCTCGTGTTCCTTGCTCGCACGAAAGATTTGTTTGTCGCTTTTATTATTATTATCATTTAACAAACGAAGACGATTTAAATGGAATCAGAGGGCAAAGTCACTGGCTGCTGGTTGCGCTTTCTTTCCATCTTTTGGGTCGGATAATCTGTCAGCATCATCAATCATGTGGTGCCACGCTGGCCAAGCGAAAACCGCAGTGGTAACACAGCAAGACTGGCAGTGAATATAAAGCCAGCTCAAAGGAGCAAGCATATGAAAGACCAAAGCTTGCCGTTGTAAATCACACAAAGTTTTGTGTTAACCCGAGAGCACAAGAAGTATTATGGGACAGTTGGCCAATAAATACATAAATACCCATGACATTTATAGGACAAAAAATACAAAGGCACATCAAAATAGTTCATGATGGGCCTAGCAACATACCAAAAGTGTATTATTTTGTTCTTTGGAACGGCTTTGTTGTTTTGCGTTTTCTATTTGAAGAGGAGAGAGAAGGCTTGGAAAACAATATGCTTCAATCGTCAGCAAGTTCCTCCACCTTGCATTAAATTCCCTAATTCACTGCGCGACGCGCATCGCCCACACTTTGTTTGGAACTGCGCGTCGCTGTAGCATTCCTTTCTCCACATCGCTTCTGCAGTCTTTAAGTAACATCGCCAAATTGGTGCTAGGTAAATGTTCTTGGCCTGTGTCATGCGGACGACGTTTATTCTTAAAAACAGGTTATTATCTTGTAAAGTAAGGTCGGCGCGCATCCTGTTTTTCCCCCCGTAGACATGCGAGCGCGATTGTTAAGACAGGAGCAGAATAACTGGATGTGATTTACGGCTCTAACCTTGAGGCTGAATAAACGTGCAATAGAAAATGTCACTTTCTGATTAATTTCTGTAAAAGCATCCTCGGCGGTGGGAGTGTCCGTGACTCGCCCGAGGGTGTCGGCACTTCCGCGGGCATTCTGCCGCGACTTGACCCTTTCGCGGTGACACAGCAGACACAGATATGGAAAAGGGTGTGTTGTAGCCAACGTTGCTGTTATGATAGGACCTTGACTTAATTACCACAACAATGTGCATGCTCGCTGGTAACAGAAGTTTTTTTTCCAGAAAATTATTATTTGTATGCAATTTTCTCGTCATACAATGCCGCTGCATTTTAGCAGGAGTCGTTCCATTCCTCTGTACAGTTTAAAATTTTACATTCAATTATTTGATTGTAAACGGAATGAGATGGCTGTGAGATGACCGTGAGATGTAAATGTAAATGACTTTATGACTGTGAGATGTTGATTCATCCATTACAGTTGCAGAATTGTACCACTGGGGGGCGTCGTTTTGATACCCCATAGAAAATTAAAAGTGAGTAGCGAGCGAACCCTTCAAGTACCTTAAGGGGCAGGAACTTTTTGACAGTACAGACGGGGATGTTGTTAAAGTTAACAAGCTGCATTCGTTATACGTTTGGGTGATTTCTGGAAAGTTAAATTAAGAAATAGTTAGGGTGGAGGAGAGCCTTTTATGTATACCGTAATTTCCTTCATGTTGTCGATGACCAGCAGTCTACTGATTAGTCGCAGCAAGCTGCCGCGACATTACAATCATGAGAAGAGTGCATTTCTTTTAAAAGCGATGCGAAGTGTTAAGGGACGTGACCAAAGGGCATCCAAAAATTATTGCCATTTCAGGATGCCCGGTGCCATTCTACGACACGCTGTAAACTTATGCGCTTTGGTATATACCGTGCTTGTTGCTGTAGACTTTTGCTGCATTTGATCAAAAAAGTTGACGCAGTCTCGAAGACGTGGCCGTCACACCGTATGATATAGCAACTATAGGGTACCTTCAACTATAGGGTAATATTAGGAATTATCTTGTTAGGAACCGTCTTGTTTTAACAAGACCCATATCACAAATACATTTTAATGCAGTTTTAACAGCACTCAAACTAATAGGGCAATCGGGTATTGTTTGCCTTCGACCATAAACACATTAATTGTGTGATGACGGCAGCATTATTTTAACGTTGTAATGACGTTTTAAATGTCTTCTTAAACCCCGTTGTATTAGCCGACTTTACATAAGAATTACATTATCTACGCCATCTGTTCACACGATGATTAAAATTATTGTGGAGGGATTTGTTTAAAAACAAACACACAATTGAATGTGTTCTCGGCGTGTATTGGCAATTTGATGTGCTTTGATATTGATTTATAGTATCAAAAATTGCCATGACTGTTGTAATGAAGTGCACAAAAACGTCTCGTTTGTTTAGCTGTGAATAAATCGGCTTATCAGTAAGTCCTCATTTTTGTGCCGGTGGCGCGTTTACAGCCGGGTCTGGGAAGAGAGCTCAGTGTGACGCAGAACTGTCTCCAGCGAAGGACATGGAAGTAAGTTTTCGAAAGCGCGCTAAGATCGACGATTCTGTTGGTTTCCTCTGACCTACATTCTGCCCAGGTGCTCAAGTTTCATTTTCGTTTTCCGTTCCGTATGTTCCGGCAAACTGTGTCCCTTCACAGAGCAACTTTTACATTTCAAAGAATATAGAACATATTTACCTCTCTCTCTATGTATATACATGTAGGAACTTAATATATGCATAACTATATCTGTAAATATACAAAAGACATGAATATGTGTTAAACGCATAAATTATTCCCAAATAAAATGAGAGCTGTCAGATTTATCAGAGCTCGCAGTCGAAGAAACAGCAGGTGCTTCTCCACGTTAGAGGAAGCACTGAGGAAGATGCGTTGTGTTCATATATTTTCCAGACATATTCATACAGTACTTGCAGTTTATATAATTGCTTCTCTGCAAATGAGATTCTCTTAGGAACAATGCAAAAAATGCACAGGCTGTTGTTTCTCCCAGCAATTATCCATTCAGCTCTCTTCAAAAGACTGTCACAAATAGTAGTGGGTCAGAAATGAGCAAGAACAATGGCAACTAAAATTAACTAGGACACAAACCTATATGTGGTACAAACCATTGATTTCCACATTCTCAAATGTCAGCACCAGATCTGTGACAGTAGCATACGGCTCTAAATTGATGTTTTTGTTAAAAAAATGTATTTTAAAAGAGTTGAATCCTTTTCATGCCACATTTTGATCTCAAGTGGTGCTTCTAAAGGATTCAGTGCTGATGCTGAATGCTGATGACAGATGTTTCTGAAATCAAGGCCTCTGAATGAAAGATTGAAATCAGTTACTTGGCATCTGATTTAAGACGGTCACAACCGCAACACATTGCAGTAAGCAAGAAACACCCACTAAATACAACATCAGCCGTTTACAGGGGATGCAACGAAGGCATGTTAAACCTGTGCCAAATCAGGAAGAGATATTCTAAAAATCTGATCAACTATGTTGGAGGCAGCAAATGTAAATAATAAATGAGTGGAGGCACTGAAAGAAAGAGTACAGCATTCGCATCATGTTCAGTAATTAACATGACCCATTTTGTGCTTGCGGTCAGATTGCAGCACAGGAATTAACCCTTTTTTGAGCCAACACGTCCCAAAGCCTGTTTTAACAATTTAATTTTTATCAGCTTTACTATCTTGCAAGAACACATTACATTACTTTCATTTAGCAGACACTCTTATCCAGAGTGACTTACAGTTTGGTGTTTTACATGTTATCCATTTTTACAGCTGGTTATTTACTGAGGCAATTGTGGGTTAAGTACCTTGCCCAAGGGTACAGCAGCACTGCCCCAGTGGAGAATCAAACTGGCAACCTCTTGGTTACAGGCCCTGCGCCTTACCACTCTGCTACACTGCCACACCACAGTACCTGTTGAATATTTGTAACTGGAAAGGGGAGAGGGATTGAAGCTCATCCTAGACTCCTCTTGCATAATGTTTGTCTGGCCCATCTCAGAGATGTCACACCTAAACACAAAGTCACACAGCATCTCACACAAGCAGTTACCAGGCATCACAGCTGGTGGTGCTCTATAGCAAAGGCACTGGCCAAACTACCAGACAGCCGCTGGTTCAAGATGGACAATAATGCGGACAGAACATTTGACCTGCTTTAGTCCAGCAAAAAAACCTATATGACCTGGACAAAGGTATCTGCAAAAGCAAATAAATTATAAAATGCAGTGCATTTTCACTGTTTGAGAAAATGACACTTGAGCTCACATGTCCAAGTAACATTTCAAGGGGAAAATTTCTCCATTGTCTGAAAGGGCTAAAGAAGACAGAGGCACCATTTTGAGTGCTCATTGAAGAATTGAAGACTGCTGAACGGGGGGCTCTGAAGTGGAACTACTCAAAGCTTGCACATTTTGGCAGCACATGCTTTGAACTGTCAAAACATAAAATGCTGGGTTGAGCATAAAGCTCTTGTGGGCCTCTTCAAACTGCCCGGACTCTGAGAGAGTGATTCACAATGAACTCCGGGGAGGTGCATTCCCTCTGGGGCCCAGACGCAGGCCCCTGGGTGTTTGTTTAGTCTCATCTGATGCTCTCCTCTGCGTCTCTCCGAGCTGACCCTGACCTTGAGGAACGGGATAGCTTCTTCACTTACAGTCTGTTCTGTCGTTACCCGCGTGCTGCTGGAAGCCGAGGCCCATGCGGACGGCGCCGTGTTCTGTCCTCCGTCCTTTCCGGGTCCCTGTCTGGTTCCGGTCATTGAGAGGTGCTTGGTATTCCCACCGCACTCCTTCCTGACGCACCATTTTGAACCATCCCTCTGAGGGGGCCACTAAATGCATCCCATAGGGTGCCTCCAGCATGCCAGTTCCACCCCGTGGGGTCACTTCTCCCTCTGATCCATCCGTACCAGCAGCAGCTATTGATATGTTAACGCAGCTTCCTCGGAAGTGTGCTGTTCTGTTCCGCTCCCTTTCCCCGGCACACTGAATGAGAGTGCCGTCTCGCCGCTTCGCCTGTTGTCGGACGGCGATTTCCCTTTTCTAAAGTTCACAACACAGACTAACGCTGCACCGCCCTGACGCAGTCGGTTTTGGCTGTGGGGTGGATCACACAGAGGATTAATGATGGCGTGCGACACACTGACATGTTGGGAACTCTGTTACATGCTGGGTCTCCCCCTTTGAGCCTCTCATTAACACAGCTGTGACAAACTCCCACAACAGTGGGGTTGATATGAATGCAGGCCTTTGCATTTTCATCTGATGCCACACATCTGTTTGAGTCATCATACGCTTTCTTCAGTGTCTCTATCCATTTATGCCACTGTGCCACAGACAGGAACTCACACAGTGCCCGCAGCCGATGAACATGCACCCATTTTCCCAAAGCCTTGTGTTAAACCAATCAGGGCCGCCATTCCGAGAAGTAAAATGCAGGTGTCAGTGGCCTTGTTACCCAAGACATTTTATAACATCCAGATTGCCTAACTCCTCCAGCGTGTCTAAAATTTCTCAAGTGCATGCTATGAACACCTCCACAGCGCCTTCCTGCGATTTGAGTCGATACCCGGCTTTCCCCTCGGTGCAACTATCGGGACAAAACAAATCAATCATACCAATACGGTCTAGCATTCTGCATTCCTGCTCTGCCTCTCAAACTGGTCAGCGTGGCCTGTGTACCTACCTGCATTGTGGGCTAAATACATCCAGGACAGAAAAACAAGCACATTTATAACCTTCCTCCCAATTTTATTATCTCGCCCATGTCTCTAAAAACAGCATTCTGGTTTATTATCTCTCAACCGCTGGTTGAACGAAGATGGGTGGTTTGGATGGATTTCTGCTACTATTGCTTCTGAATAAAAAGATCATTTTTTTTATTTCACTTTGAGGTAGTCGTGGCGGAGACTGCAGATAAGCTGCTTCCTGGGCTGTGGCAAGCGAGCCACAGCAGCCGGGGGGTTTCTAAAGGCCGCTTCCGCAGGCCTGTGTTTACCTGACACTTGGATTGACAGCGGAGTGATTGGAAATATCCACCATTCACCGGCGAGAACCCCTGAGTGCCAGGAAAAGTGCTTTTGTAGTCTGACTGTAATGGCCCAAGTTTGAATTGCGGGTTGAGGGAAATGGCTGTGCTCCGGGGGCTCGCTCGCAGGACCCGATATGGCGCAAAATGACGCCGAGCGCCGGCGAGGGTCTCGCGTCAGGGCCATGAAAGAGAGAAAGGGAAGAAAACACTCCCGGGCTGTCATATGAACACAGCCGCTCTAATCCCGTACTTGCAAGATGTCAGGAATGAGAGTGGCACAAAAGGGGGTAGCACATTGATATAAAACGCTGTGGTATTTTGCATGCGGTGCATGACGGCAATCTCACTGATGGGCCACTCTAGCAGTTTTTTTTTTTTTTTAAATCCCATAACACGGCCAAGATTTTCAGGTTAACATTGGATTAAAGTCCAATTTCAAAACACTCTCCATGCAAACAGCATCGCCCTAGTTATGTTCATAAATATACATTGTAAAAATGGGAACTGAAAATTAAGGCTTCTTTTATATTATCAGAGATGGACCATAATTCTTTTAGTGTAAGCTGTGATATAAATGAAAGTGACTGAGGCAATTCCACTCCCCAAACTGTAGTATTGAGAATCCTTCCACCCAAATATGTGAAGAAGGTCATCAGCAAACCCTGAAACAAACAACACGAGTAATGACTGGGATGGGGGTCTTTTGGGAACTGAAAATGAGCAAGTCACAAGACAAATGTTATGCAAATGAATATACTCTGGCCAAAACTACATAGAAACCTCACCCTCTAAAAGGAAGTGGTTTAATTGATGAATGAAAGGAGAGTTCACAATCACCTTCTCGTTATGAGAACAGCATTGATTTATTTCAAGGATTAGTCTGGAGCAGGTCTGCACCACTGCAGCACACCAGTGCATCCATTTGTAGAACATTCAAATGTTGACTACTGACATCATAGTTTGACACATCAGTGTGGGCATTCAAGTATACAGGAATAACATGAAACGGAACGCGATGGCACTGCTCATCAACTACCGTCCAAGCCAACCTGCAGTGCTCTGCAGCCTCTTACACCCCTTTAACTTCACAGGATCGATGGCTTCGCAGACGTAACACGCGCAAGCTCGCAACAGCCGTGCTCATTCCGGATTTAGAACCGGTAACCCTCAGGTTCCACATCCTACTGCTTCCGCGTGTGTATGAACCAAAATGACTCTACAGACGCAAAACCAACAGGGGTCTTCGGAGTCGGGATATGTCCCCCTGGGGAGATATGGCTCTAATTAGCAGCTCGCTACATACGTGCTCTGCCGTAAAATCAACAGGACGAATTTAACGCAGCATACTTGGTGCAGCAAAGTTTTGCGTCGCTTATTTGCTTTTTCTTACCATATGACTAGTTGTATGCCTTGGTTATATATTAATGATGTGAAAACTGGCTGGCTAGTCTGTGTCGGGAGAGAGACTTCGTGGCTCACCGCACGCAACCAAAAGGCATTTGTAATAGCCTACTTTAGCAGAAGCGAATGTGAGCAGTTAGCTAGCTACCGGTGGTGCATAGTATATACTTAGGCATGTTTATATTATCACATGCTATTTAGGTATCTAGGTAGCCAACTAACTAGTTAGCCAACAGCTTGGTGAACTTATGCAAAATAATCGCAGTGGATAAGAAATAAACGGTGTGTTACATGACCAATGCTGATGGCCCATTCGCCCTCGCAATTGTTAGCTAGCTACTTCCTGCCATTGCGAGCAGATCCAAAGTAGTTTCCCAGCTATTTTGTGGCTATCTTCTTGTTTTAATAACAAACAGGAAACATTAAACCAGGAAAACGACAGACAGGTGGTGTAGCCAACCACAGCTCGGGAAATCAAACCGACCGACCAATCCTCTTAAAGAAGAACGGCGGGACTTCCTGTACGTGACGCAAATTTTACAGTCTAGCCTGGAAGCCCCACCTTTTGTGTTTCCCGCACCGTCAATCAAAATAGAAAAAACCGACTCGAATCACCGATCGCAGCCCGCCTTTGATTAAAATAATCATGTTTGGCGTTTAAATAAACCGAGAATCTCTCGATTTAAAACATTCACGCTATGACTGGTACGTAACATTTAACCCGATTCAAGCATACCACCACCGGTGAGTTTGTACCCTAGCTAGCCATCTAGCTAAGTCTTTAGCTAATCTTTTTCAGCAGCTCAGCCAGCAGTTAGCTAGCTAGCTAACTGGCTACGATTTAGCCATCTAAACACTAGTAAACATTTAATTTGCACCTAAATCCTTGCAAGCCGTCGGTAATGGAGCTTGATTTTTGTTTGAAGTGTGTCGTGGTTTAGTTTAGCATCTGTTTGGTGTGGTTTTACCGTGCGGAAATTTGAGCTAGATGGTTTGTTTTGCCCAGTTTCCCTCTCTCTGTGCCTTTCTGTAGCCCCCGAACAGCCAGTGAAACAAGAGGAAATGGCTGCCTTAGACGTGGACAGCAGTCAAAGCGACTATCTACAGCAAGTCAGCAGCGGAGGAGATCAGGTATTTCTTTTCTAGCGTCGCCTCGCTTGCTCTTCTGCCAGGTTTGTTGTAAATGCATGGTGTTTTTGTGAAGTTCACACGTTTTAAATTTTGATGTTGGAGGCAAAAAAAGTCGTACTTCCTGTGTCGCTCCGGACTAACGGCCACCCACTTTCTTCTTTTTAAACCCGCCCATTGTGGGTAGGACACTCCGTCACCGCTCGCTCTGCTGGCAGCTACCTGCAGCAAGATCGGGTCTCCCTCGGCAGAGGAGGATAACGGTGCTACCGCTGGCGTGGTAAGTCACCACCTCCGCTAGAAATGTAGCCAGCTAGCATAGCTGCCCGAGCTAAAATCAGC